TTTTCACCCTCTGTCTGAAACCAGACAGAGGAACTCCCTTTGGAGGGAACTTTGGGATTTTAGCCTTTGCAGACCATTTACATGCACAGAAACCTATAACACACACTGCAGGGAAAGGAAAGTTACCCAAAAAGCATAATACTATAGTACTCGGTATTCACAATGGCTCTTTTTACAGTATTATGTAGTGTTATCACCGACAAATATGTCATATAATTCAGATTTTGTAGTTTGTCAATGTAGAGATAATTTTAGAGGCTTTTTAAATGAATGGGTCGATTAGTGGGAGAGAACTGCATCATATCATGTAGGCACATCATATGTTTATATATGAACAAAGGAGCAAGTAAATATGATAGTTAAAGTGCACCTAGTATCATGCTATTTTTAGGCAATAGCATAGGTCTCACATATATACAAATATATAAAAAAACATGTCTGAAGTGTTTTGCTCAAAACTCCAAACAGATCACCCATTCTAGTCATGCCTCATACCCCTCTATTTCACTTCAAAAGTAGTGATTTTGGGTATAAAGCTTTAAAAAAAAAAAAAGATTGATAAAAAAGATAAAAGGAGAGGGCTGAGCTCATGCGGGACCCAGCAGCTACTGTCTAAACTAAATACTGCCGTGATGAAACGCCATATCAGGGATTATCAAGGATTATTTCTGAAACAGTATGGAGCTCGAAGGCTTTCTCTCTTGCCGGTTATACCACAAGGTGAGTTCCTTTTTATATCCAGCTTCTTCACACACGTGCTCTCCAGTACAGGTTAGCTCTGAGTGTTAGCGATGCTAATGTAAACACCGACCATATTACGTCCAAAACAGTCGGGCATTGTTTCTGATAGCAACTTTCTGATAGTGCCGTGGGTCCACATTACTGATATAATGTCATATCGGACGCAAATCTGGATCAGCTCCGTTTTTAGAGATTTGGGTATAGAGGAAAAGAGAGAGGTTTTATTCCCTGACACACCGGGTACACATATTTATGTATAAAAGACATCAAAAAGTGCATTTTGCATGATAGGTCCCCTTTAAATAAATATAGTGGAGTAAAAAGTACAATACGGTGTAGAAAAAGAAGATACTCAAAGTATGTCAAAAAAAGTACTTGAGTAAATATATACTTTGATACAGTCCACCACTGCCAAACAGATGCTTTTGGGATCCATTTTGTAGCCCAAATAATATGCAGGTCATGATTTCTGTCATAGCTGTAATAACATAAAGGAAGTTATTCCTTCCTCTCCTATTTAACTCCAGATGTTTTTCTGTCATACATTTATTTAAATAATCTATTTTCACATTTATATTTATTCAAACATCTGTAACCAGTGGAAAGTGGCGGAATGTGCCTGCAGTCAGCGGTTAGCTCCGAGAGGAACGAGCTGACTGGTAGGAGGAGGTGGAGGACAGTGGTGGAGACCACCCACTCACAATGTGCTGCATATTATCACCTGCTGCTTTACTGCAGATGGCACGCTATCAAAGCGCTGCAGAGGAAGAGGAGGAGGGTGGAGCTCTGCTGCTTCCATCCACACAGGGAGGGGGGGGGCAGCAGTTATAGGACAAATCTGGGCTCTCCTGTCAATCGATGACAAAAGACACAATTTGTTATAAACATGAAGCCCGATGTTCTTCAATGTTTCTTCTAGATAAACACCAACGATTTACAATCAATTCACTTTTTGCCAAATGTTCCAGTCAAGTCCGTAGAACCAAACTTATAGATGCTCGATTAGGTATCTCACAAAAATAACCAACTTTCTTTACAACAATATATTGCTTAGGAAATAATTGCTAGTCTACCTTTCAAAGAGCAACACACTTTAAAAAATGTTCAACGTCTGCGCCATCACCAAGTCTTGTAATGGTAGGGAGCACTTTGCTGTTTATTCTGGTACCATGTTGGTTCAAGTGCTTGGTTAGCATTCTTATATCAACCATCATGCATATAAACACAACAGGCAATATTGAGTTTATGTCAGTATATCATACCATAATAGAAACTCCACAGGGTACCTTTAACCTTCAGAGAAATACAGAAGCGGCACTAGAGCTCAAAATAAAGCTCATACGCCATCACCCTTACTTTGACCTGAGAAGCATCACGATCTGATTCAGCTCAGATTACTCATCCTTACATTTTAGATGCATTCAGAGAATATAATCCAAAGTGGATGCATTAGCTAGTTTCCTAGATCCTGATCTGTATTCCTTTCCTAAAGCTAACTTTCCTCTCCTTCCTCCACAGGGGAACAAGAAGCTGTGCCCGCAGTGCAACACCATCACCTCGCCCGGAGACCTGAGGCGCGTCTACTTGTAAAGAGCACACCTCCCCTCCCCATCCTCCTCCTCTTCGTCATTCAGATCCATTCTTCCTCTCATCTCGGACTTCATCGCCCTCCCCGTCGATGGTTCATTTGTTTCTCCCCCCTCTCCCTCATGGCCTGGGTCAGCAGCTCCAAACCCTCCAAGAGCGGACAGAGACAAGACGGCCGTCTGAGACTCCACTGGCTCTTTTTCAGGAGGTTCAAATAAGTGAAAGACTAAGCACTGACTCTCAACCACTCAAAAAAAGATACGGAGACCTGCATTTCCTCCGGTCACTGGATGGTTCCACACTGACTCCCTGTACATGTAACATGGGCTCCTCCACTGAAGGACTTAAAGTCAGTGGAAAGGCTCCATGCTGCTGGAGCTGGACCTGAAAGGAACTCCTTCATACAGAATATAAAGACTTCTTTGTTTCCCCCCCTAGCTCTTCTTTGATGGTGCTGGACAACGGGCTCTACCCTGAAGACTTGACAGAAAGTTCCTTTTTTTTGTCCCCTGTCCCAGAGAGAAAACATGACTCTCCCCTGTTGCTTAAGAGAATAAAAAAAATTAAAAAGGCCTGTCCACTGAGCTTTCAACCAAACTGAGAATAACCTCACGACCTTGAAAAGGAGTTGACACTCCTCTTCCTCCACCTCTTCTTCTCGCGAGCCCCCCCTCCCCCCCTCCCCTTTTGTGGTGTTCTAGTGAAGTAAACCAAAATGTCCCCCCTCTCCAAGATGCAGTGCAAGCACATGTAATATAGTTCTATGTATGTTTACAATGTTGGGTGTAAATGACATAGAGTTCACACACACATGTACACACACATTTCCATGAGCAGACACACACAGAAGTATATAATATCAAAGTCCTGTTGTAAGTTGGAAGGGTCTGGGAATGATGTTTGGGGGGAAAAAAATGGCTGGAATAAAAGAAGCCTTCTGTATTTTTAAAAAAAGATCATTTGAAGATCTGTTATTTCACTGTACAGGAATGAAAAAATGTAAGTAATAATAAACTACTCAAGACTAGATGGTCGAAGTTTAGGTGGTGTAATTTTTCTGCAGAGTACCCTGAAATACTGTAGAACACGAAGAAAATGAAAACCTTTTGTTAGTTTTATCGAATGAAGAGTTTCCTATTGCCCAAGATTTACTGCAAACAAGCAGAACTATGGAACTGTTCTTCTGTTGCAACAAAGTCCAACTGAGCCTCTCCTTTTAACCTCCATCTCTGCTTCCTCTCAGCTGGGGTTACATCATGCTCACATCATAGTCTAGAAACATTTTTGTTTTACCCCTACATGTCTCAAAAGAAAGCTTTTCCCATTGTTCTCATACTGCTACGCTGCGAAAAAGGTCCCAAAACGGCAACCCAGGTTGTTTCTAGCTATAAATGCTGAGGGATGTGACTGGAAAAGAAGGATGGCCGAGGCTGAACTGGCAACTTCCAGAATCCGCAGCATTACCCCCTTCTCTTTACGGCAGCAGCAAATAAGGTGGTGGTGTGCTTTGTGTTTGTAAAACTATGTATTCTGTGACGTCTGTATTGTTGTAAGAAATGCTGAAAAAAAATGAAAAAATAAAAGATCTCAAATACCACGAGTAGTCTTGTTCTCTCAAAAAGGGGCGCTCAATATCATGTTAGCCGACAGAAAGCTGAGGAAGATGGCCTCGATGCATGACGCTTTACGTTGTAAACAATGCTTGTAGTCTAAATACTCACCTTTCAGTTTTTTCCTGAAATAAATGATTGCTTCTTTATAACAAGAGAAAGTATAGTTGGGCAGAAGAAAAGAAAGACAGTTCCAAAAAAAATGGTTAATCTTTACTGATGAGCTTTTGTTTTGTTGGAGCTCTATTCCTTTCTGTTTTGAAGTTGTACATTATTGTTTAAACACTAGGCAAAAAATCAGGATGTGATGCCACGTTATGGCATTCACATTGTGGTTCTTCCGACTTTCTGCCCTTTCGATGACAAATTGCAACAGCAAAAAATGTTCATGAGCTGAGTAAAATTCTATCTTATTGAATTACGTCCTCCTGTTTCGCGCTCTTCTGCAACATTTTCTTACAAGAAAAATGGCGCCACCTACTGTCATCTCGATTAAAAACTGCTTAAAACTGCTTAAGGTTAGTGTCTTGAAATAAACATTCATTCATGTTGTCTTTTGTAGGTTTTCTTAAAATGAAGGTAGATTTGGACGGAAACCGGATGATGTGGATGAGGAGGGGGGGGGGGGGGGGGGTAAAGCTAAATGTTGCCCAATGGTCAAAATCGAAATAACTTAAATGACACAATGAAAGTACAATGTCTTTCGAGATACTTACAGTATTCTTACCACTTCTAAAACATGCTGGCTCAGATGTTAGCTTGTAGAGGAGGCGGCCATGTTAAAGCCTGTTTTCCATGAGGAGAAATAACCACATGTATATGTGTTAGATCATCATGTCAGCGTGAGCCATTAAGACAAGTGTTGTCAGATGCTAATAACGTTTTATTGCGAGGGAGGAAACCACAGTAGGAGGCGAGTCTTGCTTTCAACCCAACTTGTTTCACTAATCCCAAAACCACAAGGTTCAGAACAGATTCCAGCCAGAGCCAGTGTGAATGAATCCATCCTAACCACCCAAAACTATAGTGTGAATGTAAAGATGTAAAACTCTGTTGCTAAATAGCTTTCATTGAGTATGTGTGGTCTCCATGCCATGGGTGGGTTTACAGACTGGGCCTTCCTAGACCCAGGGGCCTAAACTGTCCGGGCCCCCTCTAGCCTTCACCTGCAAAATGTCCCTCAAAAGGACAGGCAACAACCAGGAAAGACTAGAACATTACTTCAAAATCTCCAAAACAAGAACCAAGATATGTTTTACAGAACCACCATAAATAGACAGCTATTGACTACAAAGATACTCAAAATAACTAAACAGACACAAACCCATGTATATTTTCAACTTTTTAATGCTGTTTTATTTCTATTTTGAGATGTTTACATTTTAGAATTGTTTATTTCTACTCATTTAATTTTTACTTTTATGCTGCTGATCCAAATTTCCAGGATTGGGATCAAGTACATCTTATCTTATCTTATCTTATCTTAACAGACTACAAAGAGATTCAAAATGCCCACCAAGAGATCCAAAATGACTTCAACAAGGGGTAAATCAACAGCAGACAAAAAGAGTAAACAAATAATGACGAAAACGACAAAGACTTAAAAGAGATGCCAAGACATTTTCTAATAATGTAACTTATTTTGACAATATGGCTAAGAACAGGTGCAAAAACTGAAAAAAAACAGACACAAAAATAAATTTCATTTGCATCACACTGTGACCTCTAGCAGCAACAACACACTACTCGTAGCTGACGTATGGCTTGGTTCCCATTTCCCTGGTTGTGAAGCAGATCCATCCAGAAGACAGCATTGCCATCTAGAGGACTTCAACATGCTTTCCATAAAACTCCACATAATCTCACTACTGCTATCAGGCAGCGGGGCCAGATGGTGTCACCATGCTGAGGGGGAAAAGGTGTGTATGTGTGTGTGCCTGGATAATCTTGTTAAATAGTGTTATAGAAACCAACCCTGCCAAACATCAGAGCTCATTTAGAAGCCGCCAGTACCTTTACTTACAAGAATTACAACAATACGATCGCTCTCACCGCGCTCAGATCTGCGTCCAAGCCTTTCTACCCCGACCGACCAAGGTGAGGCCTTATTAGACTCAGCCCTGCGCTCCTGTAAGTGCTGTCAGATGCTAATAAAGTTCCAAACTAACCCTTTAAAACACCGTTTTAAGTCACATAATAACACAAATAAACTAACCGATCAGGGCAGCGGTAGACCAGTAACTGCCGTGATATACGAGGTAAGAATTACTGTTTTAGTCCATAGTTGTCTGTTGTTAAAGGCTGTCTAATTGCTAGGTAAAGAAGGGAAAATGTTGTAAACATAGTTAAAACTTCCACTGATTTTGATATTTTTAGCTGGGCCTTGAGCTTTACGTTTTGCTGCTGCCCCGTCAACATTACAGCATGCTGGGGTGCTTGTCTTTCTCCAAACTGGTTCGGTTTTGATTGCCATCCACTTTAGATAATACGCTGATACACTGACAGACTGTGGATGAGTACCTTAAAACACACCTCAAAGTTTAAAAAAATGATCCCTTTAACCAGTAACTCGAAAATGACATGCCCAGAACAAATGACTATAACTTCACTCCTAAAAGGGGTCAATTAATAATCTTTTTAATCAAAGTAATGATAAACCTGTGAGTTGGATGTAGAAGAGTCAGAATCAATATAGATGTTTTTATTTTAAAGTAAATTCAGATTGAACATAGTAAAAAAATGTAAATTATCGTTTCCGTCCAAATATAAACCATTACTTATAGTGAAAACCACCCTTGAATGATGGGATAGTAGACTAAAATCTTTAGGAATCCAAACTATAACATATAATAAGTACCGTCTATCAAGATTGATGCAAAACAAGTGACATTTGACCTTTTTAGAGAGATTTAGAAGAAAGAAACACCTCTGGGGTCATTTGGGTGTATTCGCCATATCTCTGGAACCCATTGGTCGATTTTGGTGATTGACACCTTTGTTGAACCGTTAGAGCCAATAGAATCGAGGGGAAGTCTTCCTACACGTTACCATTGAGGAGTGAGAGTGATGCGCACGCAGTTTGCCCAAACAAAGCTATGTTACGCTCTGAAAACTAGGCTTATTGCCATAAATATGATGATGGATTATCAGTAATCATTTCAAAGGGACACAGAGACATTGGATTAACCTTCAGCAGCGTGTATATGCGTCTTAATGCCCTTGAACACAACTTTTGATCAGAAAACAGCAAAGGTAAGACGTATTTGGCGTTTTGGCTACGTAAAGTGAAGTTGTGTGTTGTCTTTGCTGGCTTTTGCTGCATGCTGTTTTGGTCGCAGTGATGATACTTATACCATTGGAATCTGTGGAATCTCAGCTTTCAGATGATATCTTGTTTGTGCAGATCCCATGAAGTATAACATATTTCTACCGTGAGTTATATGCTAAGTGCGTTAGCACTCTTTCGCTTAGTGCTAATTCAGAGGCTCGGCGTTAGACTTGTGTTTTGTTTCGGTAAAAATGTTTCATATCGTCATGTAGCTGAGTTTCTTCCCGTTAAGTGGGTAGGACACATTCATAGTTTGTTAAATGTTAAGAAGCCCTCAGACGCTGTTTCTTGCAAGATGTTGCCGGCGGGGGCACCGGGTTTAACAGTTAAGGAGCGAAAACAAGTAATGTGACAAATAATAACACAAACTTATTCAAAAGTGCAAAGTCAAAATCATTTGCAGCAGAGGCAGCTTTAAATGGACTCCGAAATAGGTCATGCTACAACACAGCATCGACTCCCAGTGATGATATAAAAAAATACACTGATAGATGTTCAATAGAACGGACCTTTTTCTACCAATGAAAACGTGTGTGTGTGTGTGTGTGTGTGTGTGTGTGTGTGTGTGGCTTTGAATCCCTCATCCATGGAAATGTCTTTTAGAGGTCAGAAGTGTGTCCTAATGTGGATGTACAGAGGAGTGCTTTATATATTTGCATTTTAAGCACACACAAACACACACACACACACACACACACACACACAGGCCGATCAATGACTGTTCTCCTTCCTGCACCTCCCATAGAACTGCGAGTGCATATAGACGCATAAATACAGACTCAAAAGCACACGCACGCACGGTTTGACACAAACTGCATATTGATTCAATCACTGACTTACTCTGGATGGATGAAGACAGTAGGAAGTATTGTCTGGTTCAACTACAGTGTGTGTGTGTGTGTGTGTGTGTGTGTGTGTGTGTGTGTGTGTGTGTGTGTGTGTGTGTGTGTGTGTGTGTGTGTGTGTGTGTGTGTGTGTGTGTGTGTGTGTGTGTGTGTGTGTGTGTGTGTGTGTGTGTGTGTGTGTGTGTGTGTGTGTGTGTGTGTGTGTGTGTGTGTGTGTAGCTCCAGGTTGGGGGCCAGAGGTATCAGGAAATCTATCCACGAGGCGCCTGCAGAAAGAGGCAGGAAATTGAAGCAGTTGACAGAAGAACCCCTGAAGGCTGCTTCACAGTCATTAGGGCCATTCAGCTCATCAGCTCGCTCCACCCAAAACCACAAGCTAAGTTCCCATGGTCCAAGAGTCCTTTTCACATTCGCAAAACACAGATTACAGTTACTTTGCAAAAGTATAGAAAATGTACATGAGGGAATTGTGCTACAAATAACAGTGGTTAACCACCACCAAATGACAATGACACATTTTACACATAGACTTACAGTAGAGTTAATTAAAAGGTTAGGGTTAGGGAACAAAACATATAACAGTACAAACATGCTGTTATAGAGCTTTGTTGCCTAAGAATTCAAATTAAATTATCTGAAGTAATATTGAATATCAAATCAGAAGGTCAAGGATCAACTTATTAAATGTCGAAGGATGGCTGGGCTGTATCAGTTTACAAGCATCAATTGATTTTTACAAAAACTAGTAAACGCATAATCTTTGTTGATTGATTCATACGATTTTTTTAGTTAGTTTTATTTTCTGAATATTCAT